CCAAAGAAACCACATGTATGCAATCAACGTCATAGTGAGCATCTTTATCTGATTGAACCTCCCTTTGATTGGCCTTAAGAAACGGGAGACTATCATCAGCAAAAAATAAATGTGTAACAGACGGTGCCCCCCAGCCACTCTAATGCCATGTATGTCGCCTCTCGCCTCTCGCCTCTGCATGATTTAACAAGATCGGTAATGCCTCTGCACAAATGATAAAAAGGTAAGGAGACAACGGGTCACCTTGACAGATACCCCGCGAAGGAGCAATCGTACCCACTGTATCTCCATTGACAATAATATTGTACCGAATTGTTGTCACGCACATCATCACAAGCTTTACCCAATTCGCGGCAAAACCAAGAGACTTTAAATACCTTCCAGAAATACCTATTCCATTTTATCATACGCCTTAACCATATCAAGCTTGAGCGCAGTCCAACCTATATTCTCATATCTGGTTCTCTTCAAATAATGACCAACCTCCCAAGCCACTATTATGTTATCGGAAAGCAACATTTCTTTAACAAAAGCATTTTGGGCCAATTGAATTTAGTTTATTACCTTTTTAATTTCCATACAATCCCTATATGAATAGGATTTTTTGGCACGGATAAGGTGGAAAAAACTCCCCATTTGGATCAACCATGGTGGTCCCCTTGATTCAAATTAAGGACCGCAATTGACATTTCTAATTTTAAAAAAAATTAAAACTTTAAATTTTTGAAATAAAAACATTTAAAATTTTAAAGTTTTTCGCAATTAATTTGATTCATCAAGTTTAAATTGTTACATTGTTGAACATCATGCTCCAACTCAATGGATCGAGTTACATATTTCAAACATTTTGTCCAAATTCAATCCATTCAGTTATAAAACTCGTCAAAATGTCATTCACACTTCTACCTCGAGATTCTTTCATACTCCTTACCAACTCCATATAATGATAATGCAACTCTAGAAAATACTTCTATATAAACATCCAACAATTAATCAAAAACGTAACTCGAATACAACCTAATTTTTCTACAATTTTACCCTTATAAATGTGATCGTGACAAGATATTTCATAGTGTTTCTATTCATATTTGCATTATCCCTCGACAAATTTCATTGGTCTATTAATGGAAAAAGGTGAAATTAATAATTCCATTTCCTCAAACAACAAAACAAACACGGAATTGAATAGAAATCCTAGACTGGAATCTTAACATATTCTTAATCAAACAATTAAGAAACAGACAAAATATCACAACTAAAAGCATCAGTCCCTAAATTTCCAAAGGCATCTAAATTCTAAGTAAACTAAATGCAATGCATCCTGACTTTTAGATGGTACTTGGGTATATATCTTTTGGGGCGGCATTCTTGCTTTTACTTTCTTTTACTTTTACTCTTTTGCTAATCTACTGAAACACAAAGAGTTAATACTGACTTCATTGAGGTCCAAACCCACAGCCTCTCATATGCGAGAGCAATTTGGTGCCACTAGACCACAAGATCATTGACATGTATATACCTACTTTATTTTTTAAGTTATTGTTAATATTCAAACCCTACACCCTGTGATGGTTACTATTATAAAATTGTGACATATATAATGGGATTTTTATCCTTAATCACATTTTGGCTCTATTTGGTAAAAAATTAACCTATACGTCAATTTTGGCTTATTTGACCACTATTAATTGTTTGATTTAGTTAAAATATCAATACAAATGTTTGGTTAATTAACTTTTTGCAATTCCAAAATGCTAAAATTCAAAAAGCTACTCCTAGTAACTTTTTCAATTAACTTTTTGAGAAAAGAAATTATACCAAACATCTAATTTACCAAACACTTTTCTACAACAGCTAATGCTATCAACTAGTTATACCCTCTAATTAACACAATCAGCTAAGAAGCATTTGCCAAACAGAATTTCCTTTGTCATTTTCCAAGAGGAAATTGGGGAGAAGCTTACCGACTAAAGTGGGAAAATGAAGGACCACGTAAAGCAAATTTCCACCTACAAATTTTTGTCATGTATGACCACTAAGTTGACTGAGTTGATCTAATTAAAGAAAAAAAGCCCCAAAAGTCTTGAGTTAGATAACCTCACTTGGACATTTTCATTGATTTTTCAAACTTTTTATAAGGGCCCTTTGGCATATATGTAATTGTTTCATTAGTTTGCTGATCTGAGTTGACTAGAAACGTACACTAATAGAGTGTATATATTGGCACGGGTATAATGTGTTTGAAGCATGAAATATTAAATTCGTCCTTGTCGAGAAACATGATTCTCGCTCCAGAATGTTACAAGTTTGATTCTTGTCAATTTCATCCTCTTAGTCAAGATTGTCGAACATATAATGATTTTTCTAGTGTGATTTGTGAACTATTACACAAAAACGACATGAATCTGGTTTACCTAGTGTACATTATTAAATAGTGACTATGAGTTTTCCTTATCACAAAAATAAAATAATAATAATAATAAAGGAAACAAAAGAAGTTACGTAGCTAGACAGCAAAGCCAGCTTGATTGTGTGAATTTGATGATCAATAACTTTGTCTGTTGTTGAACATGTAATGTTGGTGGTGATGGCAACTAGTAGGGATTGTACATTTGTTACGTTGATGGTTAACTTCACAAATTCAAAATAATTAAGTTTATTAACTTTAATTTACTTTATTTTTTTGTGAGTGTATGAACTTTACTTTGGCCCTGTTTGGTAAAATGGCTGTTAGCTGTTAGCTGATTGTGTTAATTAGAGGGTATAAATAGTTGATAACATTAGCTCATTGTAAAAAAGTGTTTGGTAAATTAGCTGTTAGCTGATAGCTGTTTGGTATAATTTCTTTTCTCAAAAAGCTAATTGAAAAAGTTGCTTGGAGTACCTTTTTTAATTTTAGCCTTTTGGAATTGCAAAAAGCTAATTAACCAAACATTTATATTGATATTTTAACTAAATCAAACAATTAATAATAGTCAAATAAGCTAAAATTACCAAACTGGGCCTTTGTTAGTAACTACAAGTGCAGGGTTCGAATTCGACGAAATAACCCAAAAAGGAAAGTATGTTGGCTTTGTTTATAGACACTAGTGTACAAGCGTTTGAGGGTCTATAGGTCAGGTGAGACACTTCCCACAATTTACCTTCTATATCAATTTTCAAAATAGGAGAAATAAAAAACTTTTAAGTTTGAGGTCCAAAATTATATATTTATCAACAATCAATTAAAGATATACAAGTGATCCTAATTAGTACTTAACTTAAAGGAATAACTTATCAAAATATTAAAAAAAAATACTTGTTTATTTAGTAGGATGGAAAAGATACATTCATAGTAGTCCATTTTAGATGTACAGCTCACCTTATGAAAGAGTCTACTAGCCCTTCAATTCTTACTTTGGATAGTTTTTACATTAAATCATTTCTTGGCATAGAATAATCTTCTTCTAGATAGTTAATAATCGGTAACATCGCATAAAATTTAATTATAATTTATACTATTTTCATTTTTTTTTTAAGTTAGCTTTATTGTAAGTTGCATTGATTGTAAAATAATTTCTCACTATGGTATTGACACCTTATCCCATAGAATTTGTTCATCCTAACTCATTAGCTCAAAGATATAAAGTTTGATGTATTATTTATTCCAATTAGATTTATTAATAAAATAAAAGTGTTTTAAGAAGTTTCCTTGCGTGACATCTAAAAAATGTTTTAATTTGATACCTTACCTTAATGAGCTTCTTCACCATCTTTATGTAGAAAGCTAATAATTTCTCACTCTTTATTATAGTACTCTCACCGTCTAATTTTATATGACTCATCTATTATAATCAAAATACAACTAAAAATTGTTTAAGAAATTGAATAAAAAAAGAATTATTTTAACTAGAATCAGTGAACAAATCATATATAAAATTATATTTTGTTTGAATGCTACTGACTCCATTACATTGTAGTATATGTTTGAAAAGATAAAATAGTATAAAGGAAATACATAAAATATGATACGAGTGTTAAGACAAATTTGATGTACTATCTTTTTGTTACTTCAAAGAATTTCATTTAAGGGTGTGTTTGAAAATTAGAAAAATGTCTCCTGAACAATATTTTTTGGAAAATGAATTATTTTTCATAAAATATTTTTATTTCTATTGTTTCGTTGCATTCCAGAAAACTGTCTTGGTGTGCTTGGTTCATTTTACAAAAAAAAAAAAAAAAAAAAAAAAAAAAAAAGGTCAAATGCCCTAAACTTTATCCGGTCAACTCCGAAGACAAAATCGACAACCGTCGCTGGTCACCTTCTACCGGAGATGGAACGCGACCAGTTGGTCACGTTCCCATCTCAGAGAAGCGACCACTGGTCACCTTCTCCGGCGGAAGGCAGCCACTTCGTTGGAGACGACGACCAACGGTTCGCATTCTCCGATGAAAGGTGACCAATTGGTCGCCGAGGAGATAGGCCAGGGAAGATGGTTTATACAGAATGTCCAGAAAAGCAAAGAGAAGAGGCTTAAAAAATAACTTCTCCTTAAAAAAAAAAAATCTAAAAAACAAGGTGATTTTTCCTTTTTGACTGAATTTGATTTTTCATAACTTTAATTTTCTTAGCCTTGCTAAATAGTGGATCATTTTCAGAGTTTCAAACACACCCTAATTCTTCAATTGCATTTTTATTGTTTTCTTAGATTAGGAAAAAAAAAAAACACATAATCAACTTTTTTTTTTTTATAATTAGAAATAGTGAGTGAATAATTCCATAATTTGAAATATTCATTGGACATCCTTTGTCCCATACTCCCACCTTAGCTACTTTCTATCCCTCTCAATACTTAACAATAAATAACTTTTAAAATTATAACATCTTAAGAAATTGACTTTGTAATCATAAAATTTCAAAGACTCTTTGTTAAAGTTATTCGTTGATCTTCTTAATTTGAAGCGAATTTTTCTTAAAATACATGCACTTTCAGATAGCAACAATAATTTTCTCGTAAACTAAAGTTAAGAAAAAATTCTCTTTTTTTAGTGTAATTTTTTCCTAAATTGTAAACATCACTAAACTCTATGATACAGCATTACAGCCTATCAGAACTCTGGTAATTCTGGCAATTCACCAGCCGACCGGACAAAAACGTTGTACCAAAAGTCCATGTCATCATCCTCCGTTCTCGTATGCCACATCATCCTGTCCACATCTTCACTGTTCGCCAGGCTGGCGCCCACCGGGAACTCGTCAACTTGCACCCAAGGCAAACCCGCCGCCGCCTCTTCCGTCCAGAAGCTCTCGTCGATCTCCGGCACGTACTCCGGCGACGAGTTGACGTCTTCCTGCTTCACCCCCGCCGTCGCGGCGTCCACCGCCGCCACTCCCCCCGTCACCGACGACATCTCGCTCGACGTCGACGTCGACGACGACCTCTCCGGCGAGGACACCGCAACATTCATCCCGTCGTCCTCCGACGTCGTGCTAGAGGCGGCGCCGCCGTCGCCGGCGCCGGCAGCCTTGCCAGAGAGGTGTCTCTTGGCGTTCTGAGGGGGCTGATAGCCTTTCAGCTTCTTCTTCAAGTGGGTGTGCCAAACATTTTTAATTTCGTTGTCCGTTCGCCCCGGCAATCTCGCTGCAATCGCAGACCATCTGAAAACGAAGCACAAAATTCCAAAATTAATTAATTAATTAAGATAGTGATGAAGCTTTAATTAATTATTATTGTGTCACAACATCCTAAGGAGATACGAGCCATAAATACCAAGATTTTACGTTTGTCTTGTTGGGTTTCATAGATCCACAAATGAAACCAAATAATATTTTAGTAATGCATAGTTGTATATATATATAATATATAAATAACAAGCGAATATTTCACTCCTAGAAATGTAAGTATTCGTCCTCGAATACAAACACCGAAGTCATAAATTTGAGAGAAAAAAAAAAAAAAAAGCAAGTAAATTTAAAATGGATTCTTGGCTCTTGCTTGTTTTTAAATCATATATTTGTCTAGAAATGACATTTTGACATTCAATACAATTTAACAGATAGTGGGTAGGTAAATCACTGTAGTTCAGCGGCTCATTAGATAAATGGACTGCTGTTGAGTGCCCACCAGGCCAGAAATTTATCTTTTTGGATGAAACTCTTACGATTGACGGGATTGAATTACGTGTTTGACCTTGTCCTTTGTTTTGAGTAATGATTACTAACATGCATCAAGACATTATATTGCTAAGTAAAGCAAAGGTCATATATACTATATATTCAACTTTGATGGCTATATATGGTTACTATCAAGTATCAACCTCATTGCCCTAGGTTTCATAAAACTTGAAAAGAAATGAGAAAAGGATATGTAACCATAAGAATATAATGATGCATGTCGTCTCGATTGAAAAGTTAAACTATTGATGATAAAATTATTTATATGCTCAACACGCTCCTCACGTGTGCGGGATTGGAGGGTGGTAAATTAAACGTACCTATTGCCAAGCATTTCATGTAACTGGATAATGGTGTCCTCTTCTTCCTTGGTGAAATTCCCCCTTTTGATGTCGGGTCGCAGGTAGTTGGTCCACCTAAGCCTGCAACTCTTCCCGCACCTCAACAGTCCTAAGAACATCATTAAAAATAAAGAACATCAGATTAACAATCTTTCTCGATCGATCCAATTTCCCAGGATTTTCCTGAGGAATATAATGAAGATAAGAACTGGAAGTCTTATTAATTACCAGCTTGTTTAGGAAGAGCTCTCCAGTTTCCATGGCCGTTCTTCTGAATGTAAGAGATCAGAATCTGATCTTCTTCAGGAGTCCATGGCCCTCTCTTCAGACCCATTTTTTCACAGCAGGGAGCTCTCACCATCTTCACTCACAATAATTATATTAATTAATTCTTTCTGCAAATCCACTCTTGGTTAAGCTTCAGTTCTCTCTGCAGAGTTTGAAGCTGTGATGGCTATGGAGTTTTTTTGCTTCTCTCTTTGTGAAAATTTCTCCTGGGGAGAGAGAGAGAAATGGATGAGGGGAAGGAGCAATGGCAGGGTGGGGTATTTATCATTGCACGGCCGCAGATATTCCACTTTATACAGTCCAACCATGGCATCTCCTGTCCCTACTCTTTCCTTGTACTTTCCTCGAAAATTCATGTGAACTAAACAATATAAATAAATATAAGTAAATGGATATATGAACAAATCATACTAAAAAGTATTATTTTAAGTATTTATTGACATAGTATATTATAAAAGTTCAAATGAAAATTTCACATTACCTAACTAGGTATATATGATATGGTTGAGACGAGTTGAGTTTATTATACCTTGTTGGATGGAGTTGTGGAAGATTATATTGGTCGCCAGTCAAATGAAAAGTGTCAAGTCCTTTTTTTTTTTAATGCTCGCCCTGTATTAAGTCCCATTTTCCTGTCATTTATCACGAAGAAAGTGTAAAATTCTCTTCACGAGCTACGACAAAGTAAACTTTCTATAATTCGCTTGACATTTCTCTAGAAACCAAACTCCTAGATGACCTGAATAGTTCTTAGAGGGTATCCTCAACCAAAGACCGACGTTGGACCTTTAGCAAATGGTACCTGTTTGTATTTAATATATTATTTGTAACTACCTCCCTTATCTCCCCCCTTTGTAGTTACAATCCATATTCTCTACGCAATGAAATTAAATTTAAAATGATGAAATCAAACATAATGTTAGTTAGAAAACATATGAATGGACCAAAAACATTAAAAAAAAAAAAAAAAAAAAAAGGCAAATTCCAAGAGGAGATGTATTTAATAATATAAAATAATAACAATGAGTGAATATGAGATTTGTTCTAAGTTGTTTAAGTCAATATTTTAATGGGAAGAAGTTGTCTTGAAGTGATTTGGTAAACAGCACCAGGAGAGGAGAGGAGAGGGTCCCAATGCATGGGGCAAGTGAAGAGGAAAAACGGTGCATAAGAGTGAGTTGAGGACTAGGCATGGGCACACAAAATATGACAAAATATTGTCATTAATTAATGCCTCTATACAACTTGGGTTTAAATTAAACCTTAATAATAATAATAATAATAATTCACATGGGCTCTCTTTTTCTTGATGAGAAATGCTATTTTCATTGTTAAAACTTTTAATATGTAACCTTAAAGTAGTGCGAAAGGACAGTTGTTGGGTTAGAATTTTGACGGCTAAATCTAACATCTTGTTTTTGAAAAATAGCCGTTAATGCTGCGTAAGTATAAAGAAATAAAGTTGCGTATTCACTATTAACTATAATTTTTTGTGTAGCAATTCCAATAAATGTTTGATCCTAATAAGTGTTGGGAAAGACTATTTTCAGTGTGCACTTAATTATGAGAATAGCTTATTGTCTATTAATTAGATTACTACAGCCATGGCTGCTTCAAAGTTGGTTGAGTGATGAAAATGATGTTCATTTTGAAAATAACTAGACGGCTCGATACAGGTGATTATAAATTTTGAAATTAATAATTAAGCTAATGGACAATATTTACTTTACTTTGTGAGAATTAGTGATGTCTTTAATTTAAGTCATATGTGGATGACAAGGTGGCAATTTCTAAATTTGTCAGCTTAATGTTGACAGCTATTATGGATATTTCATTCATTTATATTTATCATGCCAAAAAAATAATATATAATTTAAAGATGACAAAAATTCATGTGAGATCACCTAATGTATTTTCATTGACGAGAGGGGTCGGGACAAACGAAATTGGATCAACTTCTATTTAGATGTTGTGTTGTAGTTACTGATCTATTTTTGTGTTTGACCGATCAATCTCATAGGAGACTGACTTTTTAGATATTGTTTAGTTTAATTTTTCTTTAGAAAAGTATTGTATGAATAGTGCACAAATTAAAAGAAATAATTAATGTAGTAATATCATATTGTCCACAAATCACACCAGGAGACATTGTGCGACGAATTAGACTAAGAGGATGTTTGCCAGAATCGAATTCATGACATTTTAGTAATACGAGAATCATGATATACCCACTTGGTCAATTCTTTTGGAGCCATAGATTTAGGTAGTCAAATTTAACATCATTTTACCGACACACATCGATCTCGAACATGACGTTAACTGTTATCTAAATATAAAGAAAAATAGAGTCGTATCTTTGATATTAATTATAAGTTTTTAAGATGATAATAAAGTATGATCTTGACAATTAATTTCCGTGACATAACAAGGTGTGCTTAATTTGACAAGTAGTATTTTATATATATATATATATATATATATATATATATATATATATATACTTGTGGAATAGGTTTACATTTGCACGTGGGTGTTTGTAGAGTCAACATCGGTCAACCTCGTGGTTTGATCACCTTTTAGGACCATAAAATAATATCTATTTTCAAAGTTTTACAATACATTGCGTCTTTGATTTAACGTTAACCCAACACACTTTTCTCTTGTTTTTGTCTTTGCATATTATACATATTTATTCATATACCCTAACATGTGATGATGGATGATATTATATATATATATATATATATATATATATATATATATATATATATCCAAGGAGAATATAGTATTTTTTAAAAAAATTATTATCAAACTACTTGTATCTACCCGCTCTTATAATAGAGTTTTAAAGTTTTTTTAATTAGACGGAAGAAATCTCATTTGGAATTACACTATTTGGTTAAATTAATGGTTGTTAAGATATCATGTCTTTGCTTTTGAACATCTTGTTATGTAGTTTTGTGGTACACTGCATGTATTTGTCCTGCTATTATGATCGGAATTTTAATGTCTCTTAATTCGATTAAATCAGATAAGAGAAATATTGTTTGGAGTAACATTACTTGAATTGGTTAGATGAATGATTGTTAAGACTTAAGATTGATCAGAGATCTCTTATGTCAATCGTATCATGAATTAATCAATTACATATATGGTATGAATATATCGTGTACTATGACTTGAATTTTGAACTTTAACAAGTTTTGAAAAATGTTTATTTTAAAAGATTAATATATTTAATTATAATTATTGACATTCTAAAGTATAATTATCTCTAAATAAATATGGATAAAACATCCTTTATATGAAAGCACACTTTTAGAATTCTAAAGCACTGTTAGTATAAATATTAACAGAGAGTAGGAGTGTATGTAGGACCAGGAAGATCTTTAATGATTATTTGCCCACCATGAAAAGTGAAAAGATAGTGCTTGCAAATTAAAATGTAAAAAGAGAACAGGAAATGGCGGAAAGTACAAATCAATATATATATATTTAAACCATTTTATATATGACATGTTGCATTATTTATTTAAAATAATTAATTTGTGGGATGAAAGTATAATGGGGGAAAGGTGGGGCATGAGTAAAAGAATTATATTGTTTGAGTTTGGGATGAGCTCCAACGACATGGTTCGATTTCTAAACTACAATTATTGGAGGTTTGAGTTTCGGATGAGCTTCTTCTGCAGAAAAATTTACAGTTTACGGACACCAGTGACTAATTAATCCCCTGCTGAATTATAAGTACCTCTATTGAGTGAAACTTAGACTGAAAAAAAATTTATTTGTGTATAGTTTAGTGTTAAGCGGGTTTATGTTGCATTATTTATTTAAAATAATTTATTTGTGGGATGAAAGTACAATGGATCGGAGAAAAGGTGGGGGCATGAGTTCACATTTGTTGACATTTTATTATGGGCATTAAATGTCAAACAAAGAAGCATACTAAATATCATCAATCAAACAAAGAAATAGATACCTTAGATTTTACTTTTGAATTGAATGATTATTAATTTGAGGGGCCATCATCAAAGATGAAATCTTCAAATCTTTGGGACTCTCTTTATCCAAGTTGTGATAATTTAAATCTCATGCCATGTGTTATTTTACATGGTTGCCAAATGCCAATTTGTCATATGCCACTGCACCATTATTAATAATGGGATTACATTATTCAATTAACTTGATTGCATATGATAAGTCTCACAAAAGTTTTGTCTGTAATCTTGATTGCAATATAATATATCTCAATGGGATTAAAAATTCCAAGATATGTTGAATATGATTTAAGGTGGTTCAATGAACCACAATTAGTTTAGAGGTAATGGGTCAGACTAAATCAAGCGAGTGGATGGAGCTTCATTCAAGTTGAGCCGAGAAGCAATAGCTCAGTAAGTAATCTGATATGAGTTAAACAAAGCTCCATCTGTTCAAGACCCGTGTAGTTTGAATAGAGCTGTAATAATCATATTACATGACAGAATCGTAGTCTGATATGAAAATAGAAAAAAGACTTGACATAGTATTTTGCTAAACTTTCTGAATCATTTGACTGTGTTGGATGGCTTTCCAATGTGGTTTGGTCTTAGCTTGATGTCGACAATGTTGCAATGTTGATTTCTGTCTGGTAATTTGGTCTCTTGTACCACATTTCCCAACTTTATCAATGTGAAAATATCACATACTAACCAAAAGTGAAATAAATTATTATAAATATTTAGAATAAATACTGGATTTAGTCATAAACTTTGTTACAGCACGTTTGGTTCACGGAATGAATTTTGAGGTAATAGAAATGCTATTCCATAAGGAATGGAATAGGCAAGGAATAGAATAGGAATTGTATTCTATTGTTTGGTTCGCGGAATGAATAGACTTTAGGAATTACATTACCGTGTTTGGTTGGTTTAAGGAATAGAAATGAAATATGTTTTAAAAGACATAAATACCCTTATAAAAATATGCGGTGGTGGCGCTGTTGCTGGTAGTAGTAGTGGCGGCGGCGACGGCGGCGGCGGTGGTAGCGGCAGTGGTGCCGGTGCTGGTGCTGGTAGCGGCGGGTGGCAGCGGTGGTGGTGGTGGTAGCGGCGGCGGCGACGGTGGTGGCGATGCTGGTGGTGTTGGTGGGGTGGTGGTGCTGGTGGCGGTGGTAGCGGTGGTGGCGGCGGCGCTGGTGGTGGTAGTGGCGGTGGTGGCGATGCTGGTAGTGGTGTTGGTGGTGCTGGTGGTGGCGACAATG